ACGAATAATTAGACATAGTTAAACCGTAACCTCTAAAAGCACTAAATATCCCTTAAAATATTAATAATGTATATAATGTATTAATAGATTAGATGTAATTTAAATACATTCAAAAATTTGATTCACTGAAACATGTATTACTTAACTCCTACTGACAAAATTGACCCAAATAACTCTATTGAGGTAATCTATAACTAAATATAAAATCCCCATAAGTCCAGCATGTGGGTAAGAAAAAACAAAGCCGTTACCCAAGTGACCCTGTGCAGCTCTTTTCAGGCTGACCCTCTCTAAACACCCCCCGTCCTCCAGATCAGATCGCATTGCTCAAGATGTGTTTATTTCTGCTGCGCTGTCTTGTTTGCGACGTGCCTCCATCAGTATACAGTCATGTCCCGCATTTGCAGCGGAGGAGCGTGGATAGGCAGACGAGCGCGTCTGTCAGGGAAAATGACACGCGTGCCACTTTGCTGTGCGACTGACGGCGGGATGCGCACCAGTGTCACATCCCTGTATGTGTAGCCCGGAGCGGAGTGTGGGGGTCCCGTCCATCAGGAGGAGAGGAGAGGAGGGGAGGGGAGGGGGGACGCTTGACGGCGACGGGGCTGTGATGAGTGACTGACTGAGTGAATGAGTGACTGGAGCCGAGCCGAGGCTTTTGCATCTCCTCATTCTCACGATCTCCAGCTGCCACATCAAACGCCTCCTTCAGCCCGCGTCCGGCTCTTTATCCCATCAATTAGATTTAATCGCAACGATGGGTCACATAAACCCCGCATGCGGGTAATCTCGGGTCCTGCTGAACAAAAGTACAAAAGATCAAAGAAGCCACCAAAAGTAAATGAGAACACACACATCTCTTTGCAAAATAGCTACGGTTCAGTACATTTAATTAAAACAGTTACCTACACTTAGCAAGCTAGTGTTTTTTGACTGTTCTATTTCAATACTGGTAAAATCTTTGTTTTTAATGGCATACTTACAGTAACCTACAATCGTTTGTAGCTTTATAGGCTATAATACACTATAAAACTATTAAAGGTTAAGGTAACTCAAATGGTTAAATCAGTTTCCTCAAATAGTTTAAGTTCAAAACTAATCCGAATGAGCACTGTTAACTTTATCCATTTGAGTAAAGGAATCAATTTAAGCACAGTAAAACCCAAAAAAGAAGAGAACTCAAACCAACTGAGTACTGTAAAACCCAATAAGTTGTGTCAACTTAAACCGTTTGAGGAAACCAATTGCTACAAACCATTTGAGTTAAACTAATCTACACGAGTACTGTGAACTTACCATTTAAGTTGAAGTAATGAGGTATTTAATTAGCTCATAACCCTTAACAATGAGCTCAAAACTCTTTTTAAATAAGTAGTATTAACTTTCAGTTAATTTGGAGTTAACTACACTTTCATTTGATAAAGTTGATTGTGGGGTTTTACAAAAGTAAAATTGTAAGAATATTGATCATTTAGGAGGTAATAATGTACCACATTTTATAGTTTATAAAAGTAACTATGATGTATATTCTCAGGAAAACTAGTATGTTTTGAAAATACATTTTTCTTTAATTGAACTACTGAACTACTAAACTGTCTGAGTAAACCGATTGCAACAAATCATTTGAGTTAAAACACTAATCTATGTACTGTGAACCTAATCCTCAGGGTTCATATGGTCATGGAAAACCTGGAGAAGTCATGGATTTTTGACATTGCATTTTCCAGGCCTGGAAAAGTCTTTGAAAAACAGAAAGTTTTTGAAAAGTCATTTAAATTTAACAAATATCTGTATGCTTGAATTAGGGCTGCGCTTTATTGGAAAAATCTGACATTAGGAAATATAGTAAAGATAAAAGTAAATTAGCTCTCAGGTATTCACTATTCAGCTGCAGATATTGAATATTATTTAATCTTTATTAAAGTTACAAAAAATTCACAGTTGACTCAAATATTAAAATGTACTCACCATTTCCTCACACTTCACTTGTTTCAATACTATATGAGTTATTAAATTATATTCTTTTTGTGTTCATTTAAAACAAATGTTTGAAACAAGTGAAGGGTGTAATGAAAATGGCAAGTAATTTCTGATAAACTATCTCTTTGAAAATAAATGCATGCAGATGATAAACTTTTACTCCATTATGATTAAACTCTATATTAAACTATAATCCCAACATTGCATATCCTGTGATGTGACTATCGCAGATGCCCACATTGCGATATCGATGCTGAAACGATAAATTGTGCAGCCCTAACTTGAATATAGGTTAGTTGTCTTTACTTCTTTTTTGTCCTTGGCCAAAAACTTGTTCTCACATAGTTAGTGCTGTGTAAGCATTCTCAGAATAAATATTACATAGATATAAAAATAAATGTAATCAAAATAGATTGTTGCGTGTTCAATGACATAATGTAATATATGTGAACGTCACTGTTTTTCTTATTATTTATGATCTATATGTAGACATTACATGAAACATTACGTCATGAAAATGTACTTGAAAGTTCTTCAAAAGTCTTAGAAAAGTCATGGAAGTTTAGTAGTACAAGTGAGTATAAACCTTGCTACATTTAAGTTGAAGTAATGAGGTATTTAATAAACTCATTACCTTCAACACTGAGATCAAAACTCTTTTTTAAATGAGTAAATGTGGATTGTTTATACAACCACAAAACTTACAAATTTGTAACCTTTCCCTTGTCTTTATTAATTTTTAAAAATAATGTTAGTTAACTTTATTTGTCCTCGTAGAGAAATATCATTTGCAGCATACTCTCACAGAGACATCTGACTTTTCACATTTAGCATTTATATAAATAAATTATTTAAAAAAAACACATGGTACCCCTACTCTAAATAATTATCCAGTCTACTTGCCATCAATTGGAATTTAAAACTTAATTGCTTGAGGTATAAGTGATAATTTTGTCCTATTTCTTACACATCTGGGAACACAATATCAACAACCTGATGTATGTCTCTAATCATTGACATTCATAATAGCCTCATTTAATTGTCTTTCTTTATATATACTGTCAATACTCTTTAATTTTATTCCCAACAAGCGGTTGTTACCACCTTCCACAGTGACCTTTTCTGGGCCTCAGAAGCATTTCCATACCAACAGGTCACACAAAATGTTGCAATACCTTCAATAAAAGCACTATAAAACATGATCAGCAATGTGTTGTGAACATTAAAAGGCAATAGTTTCTTTAAGATTAACATTCTTTACTAAAGTTTTTTTCTTATACAGTCAGTCCATCCACTCCACTTCATTTTATTGTATTGTAAATATTTAAAACATGTTACTAACTGAATGTGCTCCTGTTAATTAATGTGGGATGAGTTTTGCTATGTGCCCTTTTTCTAAAATCAATATAATTTCTTTAGTTTAAGGAATATTTAGGGGAAAGTTTGAATTTTCACACCAGTCTAAAAAAAACCCCAAAGCTGACTTTTTCCAAAGACTGTGCAAAACTGGTAAAGAAAACATATAGGCTACTCATTCAAAAGCGTAAACACAATGACAAGCCTAATGTACGTAAATACTAACTGCATGCATTTATAAATGATTATCAATATAATTTCAAGTATAGGGTAAATAAACAGTGTATAAGTCTATATATTTAATTTAAATACATTTCTTTCAAATATAGAAAAAGTTGACTAAAGGCATAAACTGAATTTTAAAGGAGGTAGAGGATGATTGTATAAACTACTACTACCTTAAAAACAAATTCAGGGTATATGCAGGAATCCTAAAGGTAATTTCAATACCTTTTTAAAACTTTTAAAAGACCTTTTAGGAATATTTTAAGACCTTATCGCCACTTCAAGATCTAATCAGTATTAAACTTTTAACTTAATAAACAGTTGTTAATAAACAGTAGTTAACTCAATGGAGCACAACAATGCAGCAGAACTCAGATAAGCTCAGAAGAAACAAAGCTTGAAAGAATAAATGACATGGTTGTTTTCAGCAACAGGCTTCAGCCACTGTTTAAACTCGTCTTTCGCAAACTTACATTTTCCCATTTTGCCGTGTTTCGCTCAGTGGTTTCGCTACATGTGGAGAGTGTCTCATCACCTTCCTGTATTTGCCACAAACTACAAGACATCACCCAGATCGAGGAGCTTGGATGGACACGCCGTTGTTAATATTAGAAGGAAAATAAACATATTTATGCTTTTTTTGGAGTCAAACACTTTGGACAACGCCAAAACCTTGCAAAAACATGATTAAGACTTTTTAATACCTTATAAGGGCCTTAATTTTTTCATAATTGAATTATCTTATATACTTTTTAAGACCCCGCAGACACTGAAATTACTGTAGGCTACTAGTAAAGTATATCACACAGTGCTTGTGATATAGACCTCAATGCTACACTGTGAAAATTATTTTTGTGTGGGACAGCATGATAGAATAACATTAGTTCTTACAAATTTAAGTGGATTAAACATAAAACAGTTAAGTTGTTCCTCCAAAAACATTAACATTTTAAATAACTAGATTGATCCAACAGCAAACATCATTTTTTGAGTGTTGATTTGCATTTACTGCATATATACAGTATACTATAGTCATGTGCATTACATGGCATTCCAAAATCGAAGAACACCATGGTATTATTGATGTATTATTCAAAACTGGTATTCAGTTTAATCCGAGTATAATATGATTGTCCATTTTACATGACTTCAAAACAATCAATAGTGTAACATTATACAGCATTAAAACATGGTGATAATATGGTACTTTGATATCTATCCAATTACTGTCTGGCTGGCAATAATATTGCAAACAAACATGGTCCTGCAATGATAGATACCATGGTAGCACCTCTCCCACACAAATGAAGGAGCTTACACCACCTGCTGGACAATTCCTGAAAACATCCTATAAAAAAGTATGACATTTTCTAAAATGATACACAAGCATTTAACAGCTTTAATGTTCATCAATAAGAACCAAAATATCCTCACTCTGGTCTAGTACAACTGATGTGCTTTATTTGGCAGTTTACAGCATGTGCGGTGATTCGATTGTGTGGTCCATCTGAGTCTGAGCTGCGGTACAAGCCGTTTTGTGCAGCTTTTCAGTTGAGAACAAGACTTTGGCTCTTTACAATAGTTACACGAGGGAGAGGAAATGTCTCAAAAACATAGCAGTTACATAGAAGTAACATAAAGAACATAGTCATTACAAATTTGCAACTCCAAAAAGGAACAACTGGCTAGTATGTTAATACACATATTCAACTTTACATTCTCGTCCTTCAGGCCATAGTATGCCCATCATAATTTGTCCATCAAAGAGATATTAGTTCAAATCTGGTGAGTATAACTGCAACAAGAATAGTCCAGAAGAGCATCATGTCCATACTAGGGGTTGCACAGACTGGTCGACTTGAATGCTCTGCCATGGTGCTTTTTGATTGACGTCGACTAGATCACTTGGTTTATGACCTGAACAACATGACAGCTTTACACATGAATGTAGATTCACTGAATAAAACTGCCCTCAGGTTGAATTTAATTGAAACTTTACTGTTTACTCTTAGGGCAGCATGATGGCGCAGTGAGTAACAGCAGGAAGGTCGCTGGTTTGAGCCCCAGTTGGGTCAGTTGGCATTTCTTTGTGGAGTTTGCATGTTCTCCACGTGTTTGCGTGGGTTTTCTCCGGGTGTTCCGGTTTCCCCCACATGTCCAAGAACATATGGTATAGGTGAATTGAATAGGCTAAATTGGCCATAGTGTATGTGAGTGAATGAGTATGTATGGATGTTTCCCAGTGATGGGTTGCTGCCGGAAGGGCATCCGCTGTGTAAAACATATGCTGGATAAGTTGGTGGTTAATTCCGCTGTGGCGACCCCAGATTAATAAAGGAACTAAGCCGAAAAGAAAATGAATGAATGAATGTTTACTCTTAAGTCAGTGTGAACTTTGAGTGAATTTTATATTAAACAGGAGTCAACCACGAAGATCGCTGCATGCAAATTCCCTAGAGCAGATGCTAGCAGAACACTAGAAAAGTAATGTGATTAGCTGTTGTCCTCTGCAAAGCAGATGCTGACATATTTAGTGAATGAAATGTGAAACGCGCAGCCCTGTAGGTGTGGCTAACTTCATATCTTGTGTAAAAATGATCGCAGGTGAAAGTGGTGAAGATGTACACAGTGAGGAGACATCTGATAACAAAGATGAGCCAATAACCACAAAAAAGGCCAGACCTGAGCAATATTTTGAGCAGCTTTTTGGCCTGGACGCACTATCATAGCAGTAAAATATGCTACTGAGCAGGACTGATGCGTTATGTTGGTATTAAATAGCTTGCGATGAATCTTTTCTATGTGCTGACGACTTATGTATGACTTTTGCACTAAATTGTTTTGTTGTTGTTAAATTCATGCTGTAATCAATGTGTTGACTCTGCATATTGCAGTAAAATTAGCTCATGCTAATCTTGCATTGTTAATGAAATGCGCAGTGTTGACAAGGCATTTGTTTTGCACTAAAATGAGTCATTGGTAATGTTGCATTGTTTTAGCAACGTATAATGAGGTGTCAACATCATCTGTATATATTTTTCTTGGAAATTGTAAATCGTGACATGTTGCACAACAATTGCATCTTGTGTTTTATTCATGACATTACCAGCGACTAGTCGATGTCAACTTTGGTGGCAGAAAAGTCAACTTTAAAAAAATCAGAAGTTGTTCAGCCCCTATCCACACACGCTCAACTCATAACATCGTTTCTAGCATTTTAGTTGGGCCCCGATCACAACGAACACATTTTTTTTTTGTTTGTGGTGAATTGTGCTGGGCACCTCACATCTTAACCACCTGCTGCACCTCACATTTTTGACTGAGCGTTCTGTGCACATCCAGTTGAAAAAAGTCAACTCTGTGTGGAAAAAGTGCCCGATGTCACGCACTCCAGCACCAAAATCATTGATGCAATGGTTGCCTAGCAAGATAACGGAGCAGCGCAGTGCTTATTTCTAAAGTCAACAAAAAATACAAATGTTTCCAGAAGTGAAAAGCTTATTTAGTGTGATCGGGGCCTTAGACGCCAGATTTTAACACTGAACCTTCTTATATTTTCATATATATTGTTCCTGTTCATTTGGAGAGTTAAGAGACTCTGCTGGACTATCGCATGATCCTTGGTGCAGATCTGTCATTGGAACTCACTTTCCTGAGACGCACCCCTCTGCGGATGGTCTTCAGCATGTCCTCTCCTCCCTTCTCATGCCCTTCATCCTGCTGGAGGCTCTGGTCAGCCAGAGGATCTGCTGGGAACGGAAACTGGCCTTCGCCCAGAGCGTGAGCATTAGCCACCAGCTCTCCAATCTTCTCCACCAGACTATGGCGATTGGCAGCAAGTATCTGGTCTTCTTCTGAACTGAAGCCCGCAGCTCCAGGCGGTTGGGAGTAGACGCTTCCGCCCCCAGATCCCCATGTTGGCAGACTCATTCGCTTTGGAGAAGCTTTGTACTCTAGTATTTCCATCGAGTCGTCATTATACAAGCTTTCCTCGCTTCCATTGTGCTCTGGAGGAGGGCTGAGGAATCCAGGTGAGTCTGGGACAGTTGGCGTCTTTACCGGGACTATTGGTGGCCGGATGGGAATGGGACCCACAGTGGATGGGGTGCGCCTCACGTTTGTTTTGGACGAAGGGGTTCTACGAATGGTGGCTGTTCCTGAGGCGATGATGCTACTTCCTTTCCCATTGGTTGTAGGGCCGGCCAGTGCTCCATGAAGCCCAGCTGTGCTGGCTGGCCTCTTAGTCTGGATCATTCGCCGGTAGTTTTGGGCCAGGTTGCTGTGGCGAGGGACGGTTGAGGACTTGTCAAAGTCTGTTTGTGTGTCATTATCAGCGTCACCGTTCATGGAATAACAATCATATTCAGATCCTGCAAAGAGGAAAGGAGAAGAGATGTCATTATCTAAACCAGGGGCTCCTGGAGGGCCAAGGTACTGCAGAGTTAAGTCTGGAGCTTAAAGGCCTTGATGGCTAGTTGAGGTTTGTTCAACTAGGGTCTGCAGGACAGTGGCACTTGACCGAAACAAACACCTGAGCTGTTTCTCAATTCCAAGAACGCTGAGAATGGACTCATGTTCTAATGGAGACCATTCTTGTCTAATTACCTCGAAAGAACAAACTCAGGAGACCGGTAGAACAGAGAACGCGTCCTATTAGAAATGAGATGCTGTGTTCTTCCTGATGTGGTCACATGACCTTTACGCGTTTTTATTTGGAAAATAATTTAAACATTACAGCATTCATACAACAATTGATTGTTTTTCCCCTTTTCACAATATATACTATGCATAAAGACCTTACAAATATATGTTGCACAATACAAATCAAATTTAATTTTCGGTTCTGCAATCCGACTTCTCTAGCGAATTTTTAAGTCAGCTTCGATGCATCCTTGATATCCAGGAACTTTCATGTGTCTTCCATTCTTTGAGTTTTTGGAACTGACCTTTGGCAGCTGATGATGACATTACACGAGAACATGAGGACGCAAGAACGCTGAAGAACGCATATTGAGAAACAGCCCTGGTTTAAAGAAATGGCAGCCATGTTTCTACTATTTAAGTGCATTTCACTTAATTAGATCATGTTGTTATACTGGATTCACTCCAAACACAGTTCTACATCGCCCACTCTAGTTTACTGACAGGTTATTTTTCACCTCAAGTGAATTTTGTGCTTGTACACACAATTTACATAAAATGAGGCAACATATAACTAATAAGTGCTCAAGATTAGCTTAAAGTAAGACATTTGTAACAAACTAGTATGCCTTGCTGACATTGTGCAGGGATTAGTAAATCTTAAACCTAATTGCATTTAGATTGATTGTATGTGTTATGCAGTTTTACATTAATAGAGCACCATTTTGTGGCCTCCTTGATTTTCCATGTTTATGAAAATTTTATTTGGTATCTTCTCCCAATATATTCTGTGTGGTGAACAAAACTTTGAAACTTAAGTTATTTTGTTAGATTAACATAAAACAATAAATCAGAGTTGCACTCAAACCTAATATATATATATATATATATATATATATATATATATATATATATATATATATATATATATCATCCCAATAAAACAATTTTAATAGTAATATAATTCAACTGCTTTACTGAGAAATGTATCAGAGAGCACTTAGTTCTGCTGTGTGTTGATGTGTTACCCTGTGAGGGGATGGTGTCCTCCGAGCAGGATGGTGTGGTGTTTTGTGTGCTGTATCCACTGGAGTACTGCAGAGAGTCACAGCTGCTCTTCTGCGTCTGCTCTATACTCAGGCCACGGGTCAGAACCATAGCCAGCTCACTAGCGGCCGACGACACCAGCTTACCATGCTAAAACACAACGGCAGAACATAGAAAAATGTCAGAAAACTCTGTCAATCAAAATGTAAGAAAGTCTTTATGGTATTTTCACAAAGGCTGCATCTACTTGGTAAAAAATACAGTGAAAACTATTTTGAGAAATTTTATTGTTATTAAGTTGCATTACAACCATTTTTTGGCTACAAATGATTCCAAAAATGATTCAAATTTAAAAGCAATTTTAATAACTGAGCATCAAATAAGCATACTGCAATGATTTATGAAAGGTCCCGTGTTCACTGAAGACAGGAGTAATGATACTGGATTTTATATTGAACAAAACTTTATATTTTTAAATTGTAATTATCTTTCACAATGTTGGTAATTGTTACTGTGCTTTTAATCAAATAAATAGAATGAGTTAATAGTAAGCATTTATCATTAGTGAATATTATTACACTATGAATTACAATGAATAAACAATAATTACAAATAAATAAATTATTTTTTTAAGTATTAATATAAAAACATATACTAAAATATTAAGCCACACTGGAGTTTGAGCTTGCAAAATTCTGTAGTATGGCACTGCGAAAAGAGGCGGGATTAAACAAGATGATTAGACACTTAAACAAATGTTCCATATTTTAAATTTCTGTCCAGAGAGGTCATGTTTTGATCCTCGGTTGGTCTCACGCAGTTGCATGATGCGATTTTACAGGTCAGAGTTCACTTTCAACTTCATGTAGATCTTTGCAACTAAGCGTACTGCAAAACTTTTTTTTTTTTTTTTTTGCGAAAAAAAAAAAAAGTTAACACGTTTGAATCAATATTTGTTTACAACACAGAATATGAATAACATTGTCAATGAAAAAAGATACAAAAGACAGAAAGAAATAAACAAATAAAAATACAGAACATGATATAAACTTGAGGGTAAGACATTTAAGAATCAATTTCAGTATATAAATTAAAGTCTTTACAAAATGAAATACTGTAGTGCTGTTTGCGTTCCTATTTTCAAATATTTAAATTAAATTTAAATAATGGCTAAATTCTGGCAAAAAAAAAAAACAGGAGAATATGGGTTGGTATTAGTAAATTTGCATTTGTGGATATGGAATTTACAAAGCAAATACAGTTTATCTCAGTGGCTTGGGTGCATTTCTCACAACACTATTCAAATTTGCACAACAGTTAATGTATTTCTCAAAACAATTAGAACAAACGGCAAAACCTAGTTTATAACCTGCAAAAGCGTGTCACATGCTCAAAATGGAGAGCTCATTCCTCAAAAGCAAGTATTGATGTTAATGAAAGTGTCAGTGTCATCAAGGTGAAAAGTCCTGACACCATTGTTTATGAACAAGATAGCCAAATGGCTTTGTCCATGTTTTCATCATGAAAATTTACTCTGTAAATATTTTCCAATACAAAAAAGTCAGATTTTGGTGACACTTCCTGAAAATGCTCAAGACAGCACTATATACTACAGTAAAGTTAGGCATAACTGCATTTAGTGAGGTTGGCTGTTTGTGTGTGTTTGTGTGTTTTATATATATTTATATATTTACATCAAAACAAAACTATACAAAACAATATTGCTACATAGATATTTAAATATATATATATTTAGTTTGTATTATTAACACATATATAGTATATCTAAATATAACTAAACTTTTTTCTAAAATATATGTATGCATGTGTGTATTTATATATAAAAATGTATATGTAAAAAAATATACACAGTACACACATTTAAATGATGTTAAAATTTTATCTTTGATTAATCGCAATTCATTTTTGCCCAGCCCTAAAAATATCAATTCTAATATTTAATTTTATAATTAAAAAATTAATGAACAATGTGATCATTATATACATTCTCAGTACCTTGGCAGTGGCATCTTTAGAGTTCATCCTAGCAAGCCTGTAAGTGTCCTCTGGGTGTGTGTGTGTATGTCCTCCTGCTCCACTAGAGGGCTCTGCAGCTTCAGTCCTGCGCTGCTGACCGACAGATAACTGCTCGTACTGACCGACCTTTGACCAGTCCTGCTGCAGGAGGAAAACTGGGTTCAGGGTCACCAAAATATAGCCAGTACTGCACGCAACCTGGATTTACTCATTCAGTACATGTTTATTGTAATGAAAATGAACCCGCAGCCGGATGTCTGTTAATAATGAGAAACGGACGAGCAAGCAATTAAATGGGATGAGATTAAAACAAACAAGTTAAAATGAATAAAAATAACAGAGCATAAGAAAGCAAACAAAAGTGGTGCAAATGAAAAAACGAACCTTCCAGTAAGGAACCTTTGCTGTGGGTGAAGGGGAGTTTGATCCTGGGGATTGATTATATGAAGGGGACGCAGGAAGAGTGTAAGAGTGAGGCCTGATGGACTCATTAAAACAGTGAGACGGGCGAAAGGTAGCAAAGGATGAGCCCAACTGTGGATGACAGGATGACCAGTCAATCATGGAGAACTTTAGTGAAAAAAAAACCCAACAGCTTGATAATTCATCAAAATCACTCAAACAGCTGGCTTAACTCGTTTTATGCACAATATATATATATATATATATATACACAAAATATGCAATGTGTCATATTTAACAAGGGATCCATACATAAAACGATCCATTAGCAGATTTTTGTTTCTTTAAAAAAGATGTAATATGTAATTACAGTTTAGATATGTAAACATGTATATTATATATAAAATGTAAATAAGTATAATATTTCTTTAATATATTTCTTTAAATAATCAAATCAGCATATAATAATTATCTCTGAAGGATCATGGGACGATATCCGTTTTCAAGATATACCAAGGTTTGAAAAAGTCAAGGTTTTAAAACAGTCAATTTTCTGCTATACTGCTCCTAAGGTAAGAGTAAGATTTTTTATTTACTTTTTAAAAAAAATTTAGGACAGCAGTATCTCCAACAAAAAAGATCTCCAAAGATGCCGTTTTAAATAGTAAAAACAATCAAATTAAGACAGCAGAAGTCAAAAATTCATTAGAATTATTTAGCCTGACATGTTTACTGCTCCAAAATATTTTAAATGATTCCCAAATTAAAATATGTAGTTTAAAAATGGGAAAAGGTATTGTTTTTTACCCAGACGTTTAAAAAGAATATATTTTAGAGCAGTATCTCATGAAACCTCATCCCGTGAAACCGTGATATTTTTATCCAAGGTTAACATACCATCAGAATCTTATACTGGCCCATGCCTATATGTGACACTAAAAACTGGAGTAATGATGATGAAATATTTTTCTTTGCCATCAAAAGAAAAAAAAACATTTTAATTTTAAACTGCAATAAATTATTTATTAAAATATTAATTAAAAATATATATATTTCTGTTATTTTGAATAAATAAATATCACATCGTGTGCTAAAGAAACTCTTTATTATTCCAGATTTTTGGTGGTTGTTATATTTATTGGATTTTTATATTATATGTTATAAATATACTTTAATAATGATTACTTTTAAAGTTAATTTTATATGTGACGTTACGTTTAAAAGGGGGTTAAATGAAAGAAATGTGAGGAACATAATTGCAAATTATGAATAAACAAATAATAATAATAATACAAAAATAAATAATGGCAACAAAATATTGGGATGTAGGTAAAAAAATAAACAAAATTCCAAACTTCGAATAACACTTACTATTGTGGGAGAGCCGCACTCACTGACTGACTGACAGGTTTCTGAAGCCTCTGAGGATGCAGAACTGGATGACTTCTGTTAAAGATAAGGACAGATAAAGGAAGCAAAAATAGATATTATATGAAAGACAAAAACAAGACACTAGATCAAAGATGCTCAAAGGGCCTGCGGGCAAAAGTTGGCTCATGGTAACCTTTGATTTGGCCCACCATCCCATCTGAGAAGAGAAGGAGAATGATGGGGAAGGTTTAGAGATTGTCATATCAAATTTAATGTAACCTTTTATTTGATTGTTTTATTGTTAAGCTACAAACTGAAATTAAATGTTTGAATTTAGAGGCTGTTAATTAATCAGATTTAGTTTAAAATGTGCATACTGTCACTCAACAGGAGGACTTTGGTGAGCAAATCCAGGCAAAGACAGATTCTGCTTAACTAGTGTATTTAGCATTAAACTCCATTGTGTTATAAATGTGATTTTTTACATTTCAATAGGTTCTAATTAAAAAAGTTATACTGCATTAGTCAATACGATTCAAAGTAATGTTTTCCATTTATTTTGAATTATCATGAAATAATTTAAGAAATTACCATGGCAACTTTAATGTGGAATAGCTTGGTATATTTATTTTCAACCCACGGCAATCAATGATATTTGGTTTTTGGAGTTTCATACGAAATATTTTGGGCACCCTGTACTAGATAAAGGAGTAAAGACCTGGCTGGTGATGTCAGATGGCATCGGGGAGGGGGGTTTGGAGTGAACATTTGCGTCTTGAGAGACGAATCCAGAATCATGAGAGGAGACGCTGCTCAGACGATGAGCACCACCCGGTGGAAGGTGAACCAAACTGAAAGGAACACAAAGATATTATTATTGTTTTTCTAAAAGCAAATATGTCTGAATATGTTTGAATGCAACTAGAAATAGTTTGGAACACACATTCAATATTAAAAATAAAGCTTTTTTTACTGGCATCTATGGAACCTTTCAAATTTATGGAACGTTTGATTACAGAAAATGAATGGTTCGCCATCTGTCATCATTTACTCACCCTTCACTTGTTCAAAACCTGAGTTACTTTCTTTTGTTGAACACAAAAGAAGATATTTTGGAAAATGCTGGTAGCTAGCACCCATTGACTTCCATAGTAATTTTTTTTCCTACTATGAAAGTTGATTGGTCCCAGCAAGTAGACAGCGTTTGCAAAATATCTTCTTTCGTAAAGTAAGAAACTCGGATAGGTTGAAAACCCGTAAGGGCGAGTAAATGGTAAGGCAATTCTCATTTTTGATTGAACTATCCCTTTAAATACTTCCCCAGTTGATTGATTGTATTAAAAATAGCATTTTGACTACGCAAATAAGCTCAGGTTCAAATTTCAGGTCTCTTTTTATTAGTTAATTCAGAAAACACTAAAAAAATCAACTACACTTTCACAATTTTGTAAAATAAAATGTATGTAATTGAGCAAGTTATGTGTGAACAAACACCTCACTAAAACCTTCAAAAAACAGAAATGAACGAGACTGTACATTTTGGTGTGTAATAGCTGCTGAAGTGGAGGTTAAAGCAGGAGAAACTCACTTTGAGAAAAGGCATTAAAAAGATTTATAGTAACAGAAATCTACAAACAGCAAATAATGAAGTGTGATGAAACACTCAAAAGGGTATTTCACTAAATCTCAAAACCTCTAAATGGACAGGGGCATGGAAAAGTTAATTTTTACCAGAAGTCTTGCCTTATATGTTATCCACACTCTCAGAAATAAAGGTAAGTGAGTAGCAACTGGGGTGGTACCTTTTCAAAAGGTACAAATTTGCACCTTAAAGGTCCATATTAATACCTCAAGGGTACATATTAGTACCTAAAAAGTACAAAAGTGTCCTTTTAAAAATGTTTAGGTACTAATATATACTTTTGAGGTACTAATATGGACACTTTAAGTATACATTTGTACTTTTTGAAAAGATACCACCCCAGTGACAGCTCGCGTACCTTTAAATATATATATATATATATATATATATATATATATATATATATATATATATATATATATATATATATATATATATATATTTTTTTTTTTTTTTTTTTATGTAAGATTCTTTAGGAAAACCAAAGATAGTTGCTCATATTGCATTGATACTATCATTTTTTGAAATGCAAAAAAAAAAAAGAAAAAAAAGATAAGATAAGCACCTGCAAAGGCTGCTCTTTCTGGATCCGATGCTGCTGGGAGAGGAAGGAGGCGTCTGGTAGGACCAATTATAATCAGAGCCTTTAAGATCCAAAATCACCTAGAGGAAAACAGAACAATATTTTGTTCTTATTATGATCTTGTGTGTGTGTGTGTGTGTTAGGTAGGTGATGTTCATGTGTGTGTTTCAGCACCTGTTCACTAGCCTCTGGTAGTTTGTGTGGGTCAGTGGTCAACACTGTGAGATCTTCAATGATGGCCTGAAGATGAGTAGCTTCTCCCAGCATGGCAATTTCACCCACCTGAGGAAAGATGTAGATTCACATCATTTTGAATTTTCATTTTAGTATAACAGCAAGTATTCTTCCTCTTATTCAAATTCATTCATTCATTCATTTTCTTTTCTTGTCCCTTTATTCATCAGGGGTTGCCACAGCGGAATGAACCGCCAACTTGTCCAGCACGTTTCTACGCAGAAGATGCCCTTCCAGCCGCAACCCATCACTGGGAAACCTTATTCAAATTCTGAAATGTAATATCTAAGTATCTCATTAATTCATTTTCTTTTCAGCTTAGTCCCTTTGTTAATCAGGGGTTGTTCAACTTATCCAGCATATGTTTTACACAGCGGATGCCTTTCCAGCTGCAACCCATCACTGGGAAATACCCATACACCCATCTCATCCACACACATACACTACAGACAATTTAGCTTATTCAATTCACCTATAGCGCATGTCTTTGGACTGTGGGGGAAACCGGAGCACCCAGAGAACACAGGAAGAACATGCAAACTCCACACAGAAATGCCAACTGACTCAGCCGAGGCTTAAACCAGTGACCTTTTTGCTGTGAGGCGACAGCGATACCCACTGCGCCACACGCCACCCATCTAAGTATCTATATAAGGTTTCTTTCATCCGTTAAACTCAAAAGAAACCTGTAACCATTGACTTCTATAGGAAAAATAAAAACCATGGTAGTCAATGGTACAGATTTTAAATCTGAAAATATCTTTATATTAATATATCTTTTTTTTTTTCAGATGTTCGGAAGAAAGAAAAAAGTTTGAAGCAGGGTTGAAACCACTTGAAAGAGTAAAAAGTGAGTAAGTATTTATTTTTGGGTGAACTATCCCTTTCAAACCATGTTTCAGGAAGGCACTTTGTAAATGTCTCACTGTAAACTTCTAATCTTACTTTTATGATCAGTAATATGCATGGCTAAGGACAATTTAGACATCTTTAAAGAGGAATTTACCAATTTATTTAGATTTTTTTGAACCCTCAGATTTCAGATAGTTATATAGTTACATTTCGGCCAAACTTTGTTCTATTCCAACAAATCAATCATCAGTGGAAATCTTTATTCAGCATTCAGACACTGTATAAATCATTAAAAATAACAAATTACAAATGTTACATGTAAATAAATATATCTATTTAATTTTATATGAGTGATGTTTTACATTATGTACTAAAAAAGACAGTTGCATTTCATGTAACGAACATTGCAGCGTTAAATAGAAAACATTCTATCGATACTCATCATATATTTAATACAAATTAATGTGCTTATTTAATCTTAAATTAAAATAATTAAAACTACCAGTCTTGAAAAAACATCTTTACGAGATCCGGCTTTACCCACATATCCTTAATAAAGAACAAGTGATTGCAGTCTTTATATATTACGCACATATAGTTAGAAATCTTTAACTTATTTAAAGAATTATTAGCCCCCCTGTATATTTTTTACACAATTTCTGTTTAAAAGAGAAAAGATTTTTTTCCAACACATTTCTAAACATAATGGTTTGTTCTGTAGACAATGAAAACAAATTGCTTAAGGGGGATAATAATATTGACCTTAAAATAGTTTTTAAAAAATAAAAACTGCATTTATTCTATCTGAAATATTATCAGAAATACTGTGAAAAATTCCTTGCTCTGTTAAAGATCATTTAAGAAATATTTGGAAAAAAAAAAATTACAGGAGGGCTAAAAATGTTGACTTCAACTTCATCTTGCAAGACCCCCTCAAAGTAACTTTTTTCCCTCTCACCACCACAGGCTGCAGGAAGCTGATGAAGGTGCAGTATCTTCCCCTCTCCTCCAGCAGAGCTCGACGCACAGCCTGCTTCTCCGTCTCCTCCATCAGCAGGTACATGTCATTCACATCCTGCATGGCACTGTTTAGCTGTGGCTGAAGACCTCCTCGACCTGACACCGAATCACAGACACAGAGGGTCAGAGACAGGACAGAGAACAGACACTGAAGTCATCACTGTCATCCCATAAAATTACACAACTGTTCAAAAGCTTGGGTTTTTTTTATTGAAAAAAAATGAAATATTCAGCAGACATGCTTTAAATTAACTGAAAATGCAAACAGTGTCACGTTATTAAATAAATATAGTGCATTTGTGTCCATTTTAACCTGAATGAGACAATTAAAATGTTTATCTAAATTCACAGTTCTTACTTAATGTACAAAATTTTGCAAATGCTTTGAAGCCTTCAACATATTTTATTATACTTTTAATTTTTATTATTTCAGTTTATTTTACAATTATTTAAAATATCCATTAACAATGATAATGCATTTAGCAGTCAAACATAAGTTTTTGTAAAATGATCTATGAAGAAGTGAAATGTTTTGAAATATATATTTAGACTTCTCCATGTTTTTTTTTACCCTTTCGGGACAGAATTGTGTTGATGAATAGGGTATATGCCGAAGCATGCTAAAAGGACTTTTAATTTGCCAGTAACCTGGGTTAAGCGCTTCCGGCGAATTGAATGCCAATGCAAAATCCAGTGCGTTTAAGGTCTGTTTTCTTTAAAAATCAGCGATCTCCACTAGCTGAGTGATATCCAATTTAAAGTGGGTCTCAGATTGTACAAGAAGCACTGCATTAAATTACATTTCCCCCGCCATATCTTTATAATATGAGCATTTATTTTACCCCACTATATTCAATGGAGCTTCTGCGTTAGCCTGCCGATTCTGACGGGTGCATGCGAGTAAACAGCTTTTTGTCTCGTTTTACGCTTGAGCAACCAAATAAATGCTAAAGTTTATTTAACTGAATGTATTTTATTGACATTACAACATCGATGCTGTATAAGGAACCGTATAAAATGGAAAAAAGTTCACAATAACAGGTCACGGGAAGTGTATCAGCATGGGAACAGCACTAGCGCGGCATATACCCTATATGAATGCGTACTGACAATAATCATGAAGGAATTTATGAAAGTACAATGACTTAATTTGTTTTAAAAAACATTCAGAGTAATACTTATGTTTCTGAATAAATAAATATGTACACTACTGGTCAAAAGTTTGAGGTCAGTAGGATTTTAAAATGTTTTAAAATAAGCTTCTAAAACTGTTAGTTTTGAGTCACAGCTCTAAAGTTACATATCAAACAGTAAGATCTGAGGTGATCTGCTGCTGCTTTCAGTAATATGGCAATAAATGTCACCACTGGCTTGCATGGTTCAGAATCTGAAAAGCTACTCATCGATGAATTTGCTCTTCAGTGTTTGGACTCTCAATAATGACTTCAAACCACACTGAACTGAGCTAAACTGAACTGAACTTAAACACTAAAAACTGAACTACCCTGATCAAGTTACTATGACCATTTATGTGAAGCTGCTTTGACACAATCTACATCGTAAAAGTGCTATACAAATAAAGCTGAATTGAATTGAATTGAACATAAAATGGCATTTAAACTAATTATTAGCATTTAACTCTCAATAAAGCATATGCGGTGTACCTGAGGTGATCATTGTTAGTTTTCTATTATTCAGCTGCAAGAAAGAAAACCCATTTCTAATATATCAATTGGAGGTGTTGGTTAGAACAAAAACTCCATTAACGTGGAGAATATTCCTTCTATATTGTGCTGTTGCTTTTATATAGAACACGATTTAATTCAGCCGTTAGGTTCGAACATCAGACTCACTCCTTTTGGTTCTCAATCTGGCAACCTGCGCTTGCGTTTGTTTTGGAGTGCAATTGAATCCAGGAATGCAATACCTAGTTCAACCACTGGGTGTCAAACTTACAAACTGCCCCTTTAAACTGTTGAAATATTCATCAGTACTGCTGATTTTTCTTGTATTTTTGACGCAGATTTTAGATTTCTTTCAAAAAATTTAAAATTAATAAATACAAAACCCAAACTTCTGAACGGCACAAACTGGATGAACTGAAAAATGTGCATTTTCCATTTTCATGACATGAAATGTTTGATGTAAACGTCAACACAGATGTCCCATGAGTCAGCAAAACGAAGACAGATACGGGAGGATAATGTCAACACAGCAAACAGGCATTGTCAGGCATCATGCAAAGAAACGTTCGTGACCATATAATGAAAATAAATGAGTTGATGATGCTCTGAATCTAAACACCCCAGACTCAATGATTGTACATTGTGATGGATTTTCACAACACGGATGCTTATTATGTCTGATGGAAACAATGACAATGAGACAAACATGCTGTGCAAACAATGGAGCCTTTGAGAAGGACACTAAAACATTCTGATGAAATGCACGCAAAACACCTTGGAATGAAATGGAATCGAGTTTAGTTATGTAAAACGTGATGAGTTATGAAAGAACAACCCAAATACATACCTGGTAGTTCTAGAGTTTATAAGCAGAAGCCAAGCCAATAACAGTATGAAAGACAGAAAGAAAAACAGCATGAAGAGATCGCAAAGGTTTGAAGAAATGTAAGCGAATGCAATTGCGAGCAAGTCTGACTCTGTTTATACTTGGTGTTAATGTGCGTTTTCATCAATGTGATCACAAGTGGATGAGGCTAAATGCAAATGTAAACAGAGTAGGCTTTTGCCAGTATCAAATTTTCTTGTGATTAACTGATGAAGCTTTTATCACAGTATACAATATTATCATGATGTTGACCTAAGCTGCAAAAATAAAAAAGGTTACTTTTAGGGGGAGCTCACACCAGATGCAACTTGCATGAAGAAATTTGCAATATTCACGCATAAATAAATGCGTGAACATTTAACGTTTACTCGCTTCATCTGAGTTTCACATTAAATTGAGCGTGAAATTCATTTCACAATAAACACGGATTTGCATGATGAGCGGGGCTTTTGTCTGCCCGGTGACTGTAGTTTTGTTGCTAAATAGCAGACATGAATTTTATTGAGATAATAGCTGTGCTTTATGTGCTTTAGGAAGGCTGAAAAAACAGCGTAGATTCATTTGGCGCTGTGTCAGAGTCAACTAGACTCTTTCAGAGGTGCATTCAGCTCTGTGAGTTCATCAACTCTAGAAACTGTGCTTGGATGATGGAAGCTTTCATTTGACTGAACCGAGCCCAGTTCGATAGCAGCGCAGGACGTCTATTCGCATCTTTGCATTGAATTAACATGTAAATTACTTGCGCTTGATGCTTCATCCGCGTCTGGTGTGAACGCACCATAACAGGTATAATAACAACAAATGCTCAGCATATTACTTTATTGAACACCAGAGGTGTGGACTCGAGTCATGTGACTTGGACTCGAGTCAGACTCGAGTCATGAATTTGATGACTTTAGACTTGACTTGACAAAATATGAAAAGACTTGCAACTCGACTTGGACTTGAACATAAATGACTCGGACTTTTACTTGGACTTGCGCCTATTGACTTGTAAAGACTTGCTACTTTCTATAAAAAGCCCAAAGATAAAAAGTATGTTGACAAGGAGCGCTCTATCTCTGTGTGTGTGTGTGTGTGTGACAGAAAGCATGCGCGCATACTTTCGACCACTAGCGCTTTGTGGCGCACTTCCGTGTTTTTGCACCAGCGGGAAATTTGAAGATGCCATTTTCATTCTGACTCGGAGAGTAAAATAAACACATCCGCGATCTGCTTCTTTTGTTTTATTCAGCGGATTTACAAAATCTGTCAAAGGTAAGAGACTTTACTACTCGCAATGTGTTACTGTTGTGCAAAAGCATTGTTTTACTGTTGTGCATAAGTCAATGAACTTCAGTTTTTTTAACCAAACTTACCCTCTCGTCATTTATTTCACATAATTATGAATGAACATGGCTGTAATTTATGTTTTTGCACTTGGTCGTTTGTGTCAATGCGCATATTAAGTTTTATTTTTGTGTTTTGCCCATCCTCTGACAATATTTTCTAACTATTTAATTAGTAGTAATAATAATTACATGCCATAATAACTATATATATATGTATATGTATATGTATATATATATATATATATATATATATATATATATATATATATATATATATATATATATATATAGTTTATTTTTAAAGCTCTTAAAACTGTGAAAAAAAGTGTTTTGTTATTTTTTGGTAACATTTTGCAATAAGGTTTTTTTAGTTAATCTATGTACTAACATGAACTAATAATGAACTATACTTTTAAACCTTTATTAATTATAGTTTAACATTTACTATTGCATTATTACAATTTAAAGGTATGCTTCTTAACATTAATGTTAATGCACTGTGATTTAACAAAGGTTAACCAATAATTTTATTTCCATTAATTAATGAATACTGTAATGATTTGTAACTGTACTTCACTGCATTGTTTGTTCACATTAGTACATACATAAACTTAATTAATTAATACAACCTTATTGTAAAGTGTTACCTTTTTCATATTTTGGATTGATACTATTAATTTTATTTAATATTTAAAACCTTAAAAGTATTTGTATTATTGTTGATGTTATGCCTCTTAGCAATATTTTAGTCCTCTATATGGTTTTTAATTAAATTTTTATTGTGAAATTGTAATGTAATGCATCTATATTGTTGAATTTCTGTTTGTTTGTTTTTCTGTATTTCCCCCTCTATATTTAAGGCTTATCTACTATTTTTAAGGTACTTAAAACCAACCATCTAATAAAAAATACAATTGACAATCACATTTCGTTTCATGAGTTGTTCCTGTTTTGTAGGACTCTTATTTTAACAGATTTCATTGGAAAACACTTGACTGATCATTCAATTAAAGTTTTACCTTTATTATTCCATCACTCAATGAGATCATTTAATTGTGAGTTGAATTACTCCATTTGTAATTGTTTTTAAATAAACTAAAAACGAAGACTTGTTTTATTCAGTTTGTTGAATTTGAACTCTACTTTACATATTAAAAGATATTTAAAACCACTATGAATGTATTTAAACTAATATTTAAATTTATATAACTGTTTCACTGTGGGTATATCTATTTTAATTTATTTAGCACATTTATTGCCTATTCAAACATGAAAACAAGTTTTAGATAATTTGTGGCTCTAATAAATTGGTAAACATTACAATATCCCTGCAGAAAAATCCAGCTTAAACCAGCCTAGGCTGGTAAGCTGGCTTTAGCTGGTCGACCAGGCTGGTTTTAGAGGGGTTTTGGTCAGTTCTAGGCTGGTTTCCAGCCATTTCCAGCCTGGTCTTAGCTGGTCAGGCTGGAAACTGACCAGCAAAATCCAGCTAAAACCAGCTTGACCAGCCTGGTTTAAGCTGGACATAGCTGGTTTTGGCTGGGCTCCCAGCCTGGCTAGGCTGGTCAAGCTGGTTTAAGCTGGTCATCTCCCAGCCTGACCAGCTAAGACTAGGCTGAAAATGGCTGGAAACCAGCCTGGAAGTGGCCTAAACCCCTCTAAAACCAGCCTGGTCGACCAGCTAAAACCAGCCTAGGCTGGTTCAAGCTGTTTTTTTCAGTAGGGATTTTTGACAAAATGGTCTAAAATGATAGTTTACAAGTGCCTAAGTGGGATTTGAACCCCGTTCTTTATGAAAAGAAAGAAAAATCTGATTGGCTCTGACATTACTTTCACCAGTGGGCAGGTACTTCAATCTGATTGGCTGGTTTCTCGTGCACGTATTCAGTCTCACTGCGTTTGCTTGACTTTTGTCCACACTGGCGCCTCAAACTTTTCCTGCTTTTGCTCTCAAGAGATCCTCCGGGTAAATTGATTATTCCAGAATGTTGATATGGTTTATCAATGTTGATAATGGTTTCCTTATTTTTATCACAGTTACATTTCTGCTTGCGTTAGTTATATTTTTGTTTAAATGTTTTTTTATTTGATTAGTATGGTACACCTTTCGGGTGATTAATAAATGTTTGTAAAACAAAATGCATTCTTTACATCCAACATCTATTCTCTGTGTCTTTAAGTGTTTGTAACTGGAAATATCTCATCATAAAACATACAGCCAAAATGTTATGGTTTATTAGATTAAAAATTTAATATGTAAGGCTATTTTAGTATTTTGGTTATTGTTAATAAATAGTGCCTCAATATAAATCATATCAAAAAGCACGAAAGGAAGAGGAAACACAAGACACAAATTCTATATATAATCTCTGAGAGCACGCAGGAAAATGTGTGCGTGAGCAGTGCATATTTGAGAGCGAGAAAATTTGCGCGTGAGCAGCGTATATTTCAGAGCTCGCAAGCAGTTTTGTCCACAGAGGAAATCGGTGCACGAGCGTCACACAAGGTAGAGAGCAAAGTTCTTCATTGTTATGTGAAGAAAACAACGTTAAGTTTTGTATAAAGTAGCCTACTTCATTGAGAATATGTGCCACAATTTTACATTGCTGCTAGACAGATTTGCATCTTCATCTCTTCAGCACACACGAGATTCAATTGACAAAATACCAAGTTCACTCAATTTTACTTTGCAGCATACAGGAGTTGGTCTACTGCTACCACATTGAGGTTGTTTATGTAGTTTTAGTTAATCACAAGTTGATCACAGAAGACATAACATAGCACAACTAAACTTAATGAACTAGACAGCAGTAGACCTGCAATTTCTGTGTGATGTGAGGCAAAATGAACTCTATTGTGGTGGAACTCGTTCTTGTGCAATTTGCTGTGGAGACGAGACGCAGCACTGTTTAGCACTTTTTCAGAAAATTACATTTGTGTTTTTATATATCTGAGCAATGTTCTTTCATAAAAAAGGTTTGTTTAATAAATACAGATCTTACAACCATACATAATCTGTTTACAGTTCATTTTTTCTGTTAAAAAGACTCGAAAATCAAACTATAGGACTTTGGACTTGACTTGAGACTTGTTGCCTTTGACTTGGGACTTGACTCGGGACTTGCCTGTCTTGACTCGGGACTTGACTCGGGACTTGAGGGCAATGAATTGAGACTTACTTGTGACTTGCCAAACAATGACTTGGTCCCACCTCTGTTGAACACACATGTTCAGAGTAAACAAATGATTCAACTAAATTTATTTATTTCAAGTATTTCAAGTAAACTGTATAAAAATGCTGGGTCCCAGATAATTCCATCATGTTGTGCCAACATAAATCAAGTAAGTTAACTTGTTATGTTAAAATGTTTTAACAAATTTAAGTGGATTGAACATAAAACTATTTTTTAACCTCATTTTAAATAAGTAGTTTGAACAAGCAGTAAAAAAAAAAAAAAAATATATATATATATATATATATATATATATATATATATATATATATATATTTGATATATATATATATTGAGCGTACAATAGGAAACACAATTAGTACAATATAAGTAAATTAAGTACATTACAAATAAGTAAAAAAGTCTCATTAGTAAATGTTGGTTAATGAAATAAAATCAATATTTAATAATAAAATAATGTTAACAATATTTCATATTGTTTAATAATTACAACAGAATTTTTTAACATATACTAAATTGATTATGACTTGTAATCTGCTAATGACTAGATTTTAACAAATTATTAGGCATTTACCAAGAAATAAACATCATCTAAGATTAATAAAAGCTTTTGTAGTTTACATAATGAGCTTAGTTTAATTAACTTATATTAATTGTTAACTATGTTAAATATTGGATATTATTAGTAGTAGTATGAACATACAACAGCCCTATCAATAGCCACAGGATTTTCAATCAATATTTCGCTATAGGCTAAGATGAAGAGGTGTAAATGTTCATGCTTGAAAAATTGACATGATTATAACCACTACAGCAAATACAAAATTAATATATTCTTAAAAAGTCCTCTTAATGTTCTTTAAATTTTTTTTTTTAAAATCCCAGTATTTTGAAGCACCCACCGGTGATGGGGAAAGTTACTTTTGAAAGTAGTGCATTACAATATTGAGTTACTCACGCAAAAAAGTAACTAATTGCGCTACTTAGTTAGTTGTTTATTAAATAAAGAAAAGATTCACGCAGCTTCTCCTACTGCAGCAAATTCCATTTTTACTGTTGATATTTTGCGCCAGTTAATCAGGAAATTACCACTTTATTAACTTTGACTCGTTGGATGGAAGCGCTGCTTTATTCGCACTTAACGTCAATCCACTTCTTTTTGATGAGTTCAAAATGACAAGAACCTATTGCAAAAATGTAAGTCTCCGGCTTTCCATTGTTTCTGACTGTCTGTAGTGACGACCGGCGATTCGCAAATGAATCATTTGTTTTAACCAGATCTTCAAAATGAAACAGTCAAACCAATTTATTAAATTGAACGGAGTTGACGTGAAATGGTTTGCATCTTCAGGAAGTACTTAACAACTTACTTTAAAACATACCAGACACCCATTCTGACTCTAAATAAACAAATATCCTGAGTTATTCAGTTAGTAGAACAGTACACGGACACATCTGCTGTAAAAAAACAGACCTGATGATGATAAGTGTGAGCCGACTGTCTGTTCCCTCGCAGCATGCTCTCTCATTGAGTGTGTGATTCAACCTGACTAAGGTCATTTTTATTCCGCAATATATTTTTTAAAAGCCAATCGAGCAAAGTAAAAAGTAACTTCAGGTTTTTTTTAAAGTAACCTAAAAAATATTACTTTTTTTAAGTAATGCGTTACTTTACTTGTTAATTTTTAAAATGTAAAAATATTGCATAATGCATGTTACTTATTACACATTACACCCAACACTGGCACCCAAGATATCAATATTGTACATGTTATTATCATGATACTCTGAATTATTGAATCATTAAATAGATCTAAAACATAGTCTAAAATGTTTAGTCACAAGTCATGTGTGGGGCGTGTGACATCACAGTAGGGAGAATCTGGAACAGCCTGTTTTTTATTTATGGGTTTTTACCATTATGGGCTATCTGTTTACATACACTTTGGAAATTCATCAGCATTTACAAAAGTTAATCTTTCAGAAAACATACTCTTTAAAAGTGAACCAAATGGTATCATCTCTCCACTAGATGGTGGTATAATTTACTGGTTACTATAATACCTTCAATAGGGCTACTGTGACACTCTTTATAATCTGGCTTTGACCTAATTAATCTTAGCATCAGAAGTAGTTAGCATGCAAGAGAGAGCTGAGTGAGAAAAGACCCCAGCGTGACACATATTCACTAAATCTTTACCATACCGAACGCAATAATCCCCTGAACACAATCCACAGAGCGAGTGTGAGTGAGAGGGGAAATCATAGTGCTGACTGAGTGGGAAAAAAAACAGAGACTGACCTTTTCTAGCTTTCTTCTGGAGCTTTATTGTGTCAGATGACTTCTTCTTGATCTCCTGCCTGGAGCGCTTGTACTCTGGTCAGCAGAAGGAAGGTGTAAATTCAGGACAGAGACGTCAGTATTGCAAAGAGTATGAACAGGTTTGCTTAACGACAGTCGAGATAATTCAGTCCTGTACCTTTGGCATGGTCTTTATCAAGCAGAGCTGCAGTTTTCTTCCACTCTTCAATCTTGTCTTGGAGTGGGCCAATCATTTTTTCCATTAGAGCACTAAGTATTAATAGAAAAAATAAACAAGGCAAAAAATAAACAAGAGAAACAACTGAATCACCCAACACAGTATTATTTCAAGACTTAGCACCAAAATTAATAATAAAAACAATAATAAAATAACAGAACTATATAGCTATGCGCATATTATACAGTAGTCAACATTTGAAGTAAATCAAAATTTATTTTCAAAATTATCCTAGGACAAGAAAAACTGTCTTTCAATAGTTTTAGGACAACTTTGTTGAAAGGTGTTGATCCAATTGTTGACTACTGTACTTTATATAATTGTATACAGCCGAAATTATTTATAACTCTGGGATATGAATAATGTTGGGCTTGACTATATTTTTTAATGCATAATTTACATACACACTACACATTTAAAGTTTAGGATTTTTTTTTATTATTTGGGGAGAAAACAAAAATTTGTCACATTTACTATATTTATTTGATCAAAAACATAGCAACAACAATAATATTGTGAAGTTGCTCTTTTATATACAGTATTATCTGTAATATACAAGAGTTGTGTTGTTATTTTAAAATAAAAATAATATCTTTAGTGACGAAATCCTTCACAAATAATTTTATATACTGATCTGATGATCAAGAAATTAACATTTATTTTAATTTAAATGCTTTTTTTATTGGCTCACAGTGGCGCAGTGGGTAGCACAATCGCCTCACAGCAAGATGGTCATTGTTTCACCTTTCTTAATTTTTTAAATGCCCCTAGGGCATTTTTAAATCATAGCTAGCATTCATATTGGGCTTCTGGCCTGTTTTAGAAAAAAAAATTTAAAAAAAGTTTAATGAAATCTAAAGTGTGCAGTCTGAAAGCACCAGTGATGCCTTGTGTAAAGAGATTTCCAGCTACGTGCAATGGGGAACATAAAGAGATAAATAACCAATGGCGAACTTAAAATTATGAAAAACGCTAGAGGAAAGGCAAATTTCTGGTCAACTTTTCAAATAGTGACAACTTTAAATGATGAGCCAACTGGTTATGCACAATGCACAACTTGTAATTGAGTAAATTCAATGTGGACCACATGCCGCTTGGATATTGATGTTACTTATACAGTTAAATCTTACATTATAATAAAATAAGCTATTCTGATAAAAACAAAAACAAAACAAAAAAACCATCAAATTTCAATTAAATACAAATCCGGTCTATGGTTGTAACAGTAAGAATAAACAGTCTTTGTGTCGGACTCAGGCCAAAAACTGATGAGCTGTTGGAAAAGAGCAAGACTACAGCCTGTGTGTCTCGGGCCAGGGCCGGGCTAGGGCTTAGATTTAAGGCCTGTGCAGTGCTCTAAGGTAAATTAAGCCATGCTAAGCGTTTTTCATGTTGTGTTTTAAAACGTCCTATAAAAACAATATATTAGAATCATTTCTGAAGAATCATGTTTAACAAGGAAGACGAAGTGATACTGCAAACTAAGCTTGCCATCCCAGAAATAATTTATAGTTAACACATCCCCATTTGTGTTCCACAGAATAAGTAAAACCATAACTAATTTGAAATGATCAGGAGAGTAAATGTGCATTTCCGAGCAAACTGTTTCTTTAAGGTCAGCATCTGAAATCCATGAGCTAATTCGGTCTCTCTGAAGACGACGGGCGCTTTAAAGCCTCTGAGCAGGTTGATTGATCTATGGATGTTTGCTTATCTCTGCAGTGGAAAATCAATAACTGGCAGAGACATAAAATCCTGTCTGTGCGTCTGACTGGCGGGGAGTGAGGCATGAAAGTGATCACGCCATTGCATGGGTCGATCACTCACTTGGTGAAGTGGCGCAGTTTGGCTTCGATGCTGCGGTGTCGCATGCACATCCGGGTCAAAGCCGAGCCGATATCCCTGGTGGCACCTGAGAAAGAGACAAATGAATGAGCTGAATATGAAATATGAACTTCTTGCAGATTTAAAGTATGACAATGACAGTTTAACAATTAAAAACAACCCAAGTTTATCAAAGTGCTCAAAAAAAATCAAGTTACTGTACTGTATGTGGTGCAAAATAAGTTGTTTGAAACATAAAGCCTGAAGATATATACATGGCCACAAGGGGGCAGCTTTATCAGAAGCACAAAAGCAAGTCCATTAAAGAAAACAAGCATGCACTTAGTCTGTAAAAAGAACGATAATTGCACCATATTCACAAGAGACAGATCTTCAAAGGCCGCAAATAGAACACTTCCCAAACTGAATGACTCTGATCCATCATGGAGTGTGCACTCGCTTGGTGACCTTGAGGACAATTACTTAGCGGTGTTAACTTTCCTCTCCGGCCAAGTGTAATTAAAATGGGGTCTTAAGCTATAAAGACCAGCCGGCCTTGGCCTGAACACAACCAGCATTGCAGCCAGAGCTGATGAGATTGAACTCTGATGCAATGAGGGTCAGTAGAAGGGCCAAAGTCTCTACTTAAAGGGTTCATGTGCCAGTGGATGTAAGGGGAGATATATGTGATAGATTATGATGGGAATCAAAAATAATGGATTAATTCTGGTTTTTACTCCACTGTATGTGGTTTCTTAATTCATCCACTAAAGATTATTTTAAATGCTAAATGAGGACATAGTTTGCATATGTTGTTAGAAAATCCTTGCAAAACATTTGTTGGCATGAATGACTTTTTTTTAAAAGGCAGAATTAATGCAATCCAATGCTAAGTCTTTGCTAATAATATATATAAACAATTGTTGTTTAATATTAAACCAAGCAAAGCAAAATGTGGCAATCTATTGCATTTTATATATTCGATTGATTAAAATCAAATTGTCAAGAATCATTCGTTTGGGAATCAGACTCTACACATGCTGTGTTACTTCACTGAAAAGAACCACATCATTCGTATGGAACTGGGCTGTGCTGGTTTTCGATTCAGTAAAAAGAATTTTCTAGTGAATCAGACTACAGTAGTTCCTCTGTATGTTTTTGATTCACTAAAAATAAAATTTTCATAGGTGTCATTAGAATCAGACTGCAGTGGCTACTCTATATGTTTATGATTCACTAAACCTATTTTAATTAGAGTCATTTGCTTCTGAATCAGACTACAGTGCCTCATCTGTACACTTCTGATTCACTAAAAGAATCTTTTGGTTAGAGTCATTTGCTAGTGAGTCATACTGCAGTGGCTCCTCTGTAGGTTTCTGATTCTCTAAAAAGAATCTTTTGGCTAGAGTCATTTGCTAGTGAATCAGACTGCAGTGGCACCTCTATGTTTTTGATGCACTAAAAATAATATTTTCCTAAGATACAGCAATAGCTCCTCTGTATGTTTTTGATTCACTAAAAAGAACCTGTTCCTTGAAATCATTTGTTTAAGAACTGGACTTCATTGGATGTGCTTTATATTTCTGATTAAATAAAAAGAACCTGTTCAGTAATCTAGTAAACAAACCAGTAACTGCAGAAAGGCATGATTATTTATACAACAAAAAGAACTGATTTATTAGAATCATTTGATCAAGAGACGGATTATATTGTTTGCTCTGTATGTTTTTGATTCACTGTAATAAAGAAAAACATCAGCTCATTGTAGTGATTCATTTGAGAGTGGTGGAACCTCTGAAAACGCATTATTGCAACATCAGAATTTCATCCATATCAGCAGATCAATGTGTGCTGCTGGAGATCCACTAATGGTTTATGTCATATCTGAAAAGATTTTTTTAAAAGTGATGATTATGTCAGAGTGTTTATACACCAAAAATAAATGTGTGTGTGCGACGAGAAATGGGAGCAGTCCAGAAGAACAGCCCTCCATCTCTCTTTCCAGGTCCAAAGGGAAAAGGAGTGAACCCGGTAAAGGGATATCCCTCCATTCTTCCACTCTGTATCTGCCTTTCCTGTCTGCTCATGTTTCCTAAACACCATTATTACAGGAGAGAATGGGAGAGGCCGGCAATAACCTGCCCTCCTGTAACCACACACACACACACACACACACACACACACACACATGAATGAACCGAAAATGTTCAAAACAAACAGCCTCCCACATGAAAACTCACTGCAAAGAGGCACTTCAGCTCAAACACGACAACAAGTATACACAGAGTTTGTCAAACCAGTAATATTTTACTACCAATAATATACTATTTTAAGTTTTTGCTAACATTTTTATTTTAATTTGTTACAGTTTTAGTAATTTTATTGTGTTGAAATAATTCATTGTCTTGTCGGCTTAGTCCCTATATTAATCCAGGGTCGCCACACCGGAATGAACTGCCAACTTATCCAGCAAGTTTTTTTTTTTTTTCCATCTCTGGGAAACACATACACATTCACACACACACTCATACACTATGGACAATTTAGCCTAACCAATTCACCTGTACTGCATGTCTTTGGACTGAAAGGGAAAATGGAGCACCTGGAGGAAACCCACGCGAACGCAGGGAGAACATGCAAACTCCACACAGAAACGCCAACTGAGCCGAGGTTCAAACCAGCGACCCAGCGACCTTCTTGCTGTGAGGCGACAGCACTACCTACTGCACCACTGCCTCGCCGTGTTGAAATAATCTCTATTATAATCGCTATTATTTTAGTAGCCTGCTATTAACGTGAGGGTGAGAACATTAACAGCAAAAACTAAATTAGCTGGTTATTTGTGTGTATACTTTGTATTTGTGTACTTATGTTGCGGGGACTAAATGCCACCACAAGTAGCACAATATCAGTAAATGTTAACCTGTGTTTTAACCTGTTGTCCCCAAAATGGCCCAAAATCAGACATTTTCTTGTCACGTTATCCAAGTTTTAGGAACACAAATAGCTTGAGTTCTAGTTTACCGTTTGATATCAGAAGTGGCTTATATAAAAAGCAAAGGCCTCTAGATTACGCTTATTTTAGCAAAATAAAATATGATCATGCCTTGATTTTTAATTATTTAATTAGGAGAGTAATGTCTGACTTTGCTTAGACAAAAGTCTTGTCATTTAACAGAAAAAAATTACATTATTGAATATAATGTGATGGTGTAGTGGGAAAAGATTGAATATTGTGCATGACTCCTATGAGCTTGGAGGACTGCATCCATACATCTCTGCAATGACTTAAATAACTGATTAAAAAAGTCATCTGGAATGGCAAAGACAGCGTTCATGCAGGACTCCCAGAGATTCTTTGGATTCATCTTCAATGCCTCCTCCTTCATCTTACCCCAGACATGCTAGATAATGTTCATGTCTGGTGACTGGGCTGGCCAATACTTTAGCACCTTGACCTTCTTTGCTTTCAGGAACCTGGATGTGGAGGCTGAAGAATTTGCCCTTTCCTGTGGTTTATAATGTAATGGGCAAGACAAATGTCTTGATACCTCAGGTTGTTGATGTTGCCATCAACTTTGCAGACCTCTCGCAAGCCCCAATACTGAATGTAACCCCAAACCATGATTTGTCCTTCACCAAACTTGACTGATTTCAGTGAGAATCTTGGGCCTATGCGGGTTCCAGTTGATGTTCTGCAGTATTTGTGATGATTGGGATGCAGTTTAACAGATGATCCATCAGAAAAATCTACCTTCTGCCACTTTTCCAAATGATCAACTAGAAGTCAAGTTATTACTTCTTGCTCTTACAACTGTGATTGATGACAAGACTTTTGTCAGGTAGTGTACAGTCTGTACATTATAAATACATTATGTCTATGCGAAGTCCCCATAAAAATAGCTGTACAAGTGTGTGATTGTGTGCACAAACTATTCCCATAGAAAACTTCTTTAAAACTTAATCCTGTTTGATACGACGCTATAAACTCTAAATTTAAGTCAAATCAACACTATATAAAGCATCAATACCCAAATTACAAGTACTTTTCTTTCTGTTGCCCCTTTGGGTGGGACACTGAACGACTGAACACTGCCCAAACCAGGTGACAGCAGTAGGAAAGGAAGGTCAAAGATCAGCCATCTGAATCCTCAGTCTGAAGGGCTGTACATAGGAAATGATAAGGCAAATAGAGGAAGAAAAAAAAAACTCTGTATCCCACTTGGCCCAGACCCACAGGTCCACCACAGTGTCTGTCTGCCGAGAGAAAGGCCTGCTGTCAGAACACAGTGTGCTTATCCAGGAGCACGCACATCTCACATCCTATTCTCAAAGCTCTTCAACAAGGCAAATCAAGTTCAACACTGCTGCTGTTGAGACATAACAGAGCTGCTCCTGATCTGCACGCGCACACACATTTGCATTGGCTTCACAGCTGCCTTTCAGCTCAGAAACTTTTATCTCAAAAACAGACCTTCTCAACGTCACTGCTACAGTTGAGATGATATGCTACACAAACACATGCTCTCTCACTCACATACACGCACACCTGCCAGCATCCTCTTCCCTTCCCTCGAGGGATCAGCTGACAGCTCCATCCTGAAAGCTGTATGCAGGAGTCCCCGACCGGACACATGCGACTCCCACAGCCTTCCTCCGCATCAGATGCTCCATTCAGACTCCAGCACCTGCCCACCACTGCAAAGCTATTCAGCAGATCTGCAAAGCCTTGAGGAACCACTCGTGTGCTCCACGGCTGCTTTAAAGGGAACGTTTTACCTTCATTAATGCACCGTCATGTCATTTCAAACCCAAATGACTGTCAGTGGAGTTCAAAACAACATTGGACCAGTGTTATTTCAGTGGCGTTAATAAAGTATTACTTTTATTAGTATTATTGTTAAGTTACTATTATAAGTAACTACTGTGGTATTTAAAGTTTCAATAATTTTTTTTTACATATTCTGTTTTTGTTTTGATTTTATTCATTTTAATTTAATATGGAAATATGATTGGTTTCACATGAAAATGTGATTTTTACATGTGAAGCTACTATGATTCTTCTGTAAGGATTCATCACCCTGTGCT